TTTTGACGCATTGAAAGACATTCAAGAATTTTCCCAAAATTTTCGGACACCGGTAACCCCCTCAAAAACGTTGCTCAAGTTGATCCAGCGTTTTCTAGGTTTATGGGTTGATTCTTTTTTTCTTTGACTCTAGTGATTTAGGTTCTTTTGTTTTTCCTTTTTATTGTTCTTTTGCTTTATCTAACACATTATCCTTCTTGTGTTAGTAGGATTAAAGAGTTTGCATACTTCTTCCTTCCTTGCATTCTCGTTCTCTTGGAGTCTAGCCCTTGTTTGGCCTCTTAGAACTTTTAGGTTTTCTTATCGCCTTTGCTAGTAATCAAACTCCGATACGAACTGTGGAAGACTACTTGGTAAAGTGAGTTTTAAAGAGTACAAGATCGGCTTACTTGCCTCTCGTTGTGTTACTTTCTTGGAGTGACTTGTGAGGTTTCTTGCTTTGTTGAATTTTCTTCCTTTTATTTTTATTTTACTTTAAAATTTTCTTTTGAGTGTTAAGAATTCAGGATGGGCGGCAATAACAACAAGACACTTACGGCTATCTTAGCCACACTTTCCCGACTCACGACTCAAGTTGAAAGATTTGATGAAATCATGAGAGAACAACAAAAACCACAACTGGATCTACCAAACCATAATCCAAGACCAAATAATGTTGAACTTTTGGTACCAGGGCGAGAACAACCATATTTTCAAGCACCCAAACTCTTTGCAAAACCAAAGTTCACGATCCCGTCTTTCAAAGGAGACAATGATCCAGACAGGTACATCGAATGGGAAGGAAAAGTTGATCTCATGTTCGCATACCATGACTGACCCCAAGCTAAACAAGTTCACCTCATCACCACACAATTCGAAGGATATGCTCGAACTTGGTGGATACAAACAAGGAAAACTATCCAAAACTTCCAAATTCCAAAAATCACTTTTTGAACCGACCTCAAACAAACCATGAGGAAGCAATTCCTACCGAAACATTATACACGAGAAGTTAAACTACGACTAGACCGACTTCGACAAGGTAGAAGTTCAGTTGAAGAGTACTATAAGGAGATGCAGTCCTTACTCAATAGGGCTAACATAACCGAAAAAGAAGAGGTCACCGTGTCAAGATTCATCGTCGGCTTAAACTCAAATATCATTGATCTTCTTGATCTACAAGGGTACGAAAAACTTGAAGATGCACTACAGAAAGCAATGACAATTGAAGCACAAATCCAAAGGAGATCTCGATTCAGTGAACATTACCAAGGTACTTCATCCTCTTACCAAGGTAATCCTTCAAATCCTTTCTCATCTTCTACTCCATCTTCTCTAAAAAAGCCAAGAGATGAAAAACCTAACAAGAAGAAAGAACGACCAGCAAAGAATGTCACACTTCCAGTCCCTAAAGATCAAATGATAATTTGTGAGGAGGTAGGGAAAGCAAAAAAAGGAAAAGTTGAGAAAGAGTCAAAAGCAAAAGAGGTCACTAGTTATAAAAGCCAAAAGAATAATGACCCATGGGAGGTGAGTGAACCTAAATGTGAGAAGAAAAGAATGACTCAAAATCTATGTGTGAGCACAAAAGAATTGAGAGATAACCTTCTTTACTAACAGCCTTGCATCCTTGTTCGCTTTAGGGAATCAATTGTTTCAATTTCTAACATTAACAAGGATTTGCCTAGTGTGTTTTCATCTGTTTTATAGGATTTTCGAGAAGTGTTAGGTGATCTACCTAACGAACTACCTTTGAAAAGAGGAAAATAACGCCAAACCAATCTAATTCAAGGTTACATCATACCTCGTCAAACATACAATCTCGAAGAAACCAAAGAGTTGGATTTGTTACAAAAAGGCTACATCCAGGAAAACCTTAGTCGTGACGCCATCTTAATGACGAAACATGATTTGAACAACTCTACAGGCTTTATAATTCGTGCACAGAAAATCCATGTAAATGATGAAATAGTAAAAGCAACACGAGACTGGCCCACACCATCTTCCATAGCCAAGAGTTGTCGAATAATATTAGGTGACCCTCTTGACGGGTTATCACCTTAAAGCCCTAATCACTATGCCATATCAATGAAGAGTCACGGTTTATGGGAGTTAAAAGGTAAGTATTTTATTACTCATTTTAATGACATTGTAACATACTTCTTCTCCTTCTTACAAGGTAAGGCTCATGAAGTTGTCATCCATATTAAACACAACTCCTTTAAGTGCATAACTGACTGAGGTAAGCAAAACACATTAGATGATGCATTACCATGAAGGTATACTCTTAAGCATGCTACTATTCCAAGAATTGAACATATAAAAGATGTATATCACGATAACTCGGATATTTCTGATATTTCTACCCATGCTTTTAAAAGTGCTTTTAATGAGTTTTATCTTGTATATGAGTTTCCTTGCCAACTAAACAGGTTCTACAATCCATAAATCTCCTGACGAGAATTATTAATTCATGAACCACACTTAGGAGACTTAAGGGATTACTTTAACAAACCAGTTGACATGGTTTTTAAACACTCATTCTCACCACACATGAATTAAACCATGGAGAAATTTTCTGAAGCAATCATACATAAAGCAAACAGTGGTCAACACCATGTTGAATTTCAACCTAAACATCATATTACAAGACTTGTATACAAAAGAGGATTTCAATACTACAAGAAATCAGTTCCTACAAAGAAGAAATCTCGACTGAAACGCATAAAGACACATCACATTGATCCTGGTAAATGTTTCACAAGTTTTCCTTTCAACACATCTAAGTCTCTTTCTCTTGGATTTTTATATTCGAGGACGAATCATTTTGAGGAGTGGGGAAATGATACATGCACCAGAGTCCATAATACATGCTTCTTTGGACTAATGTTTCTACTCAAACCTATTAGAAGAACAAAGTCTCGAAGATTCAAAGCATATCTATTCGGTAAGTATAATGTGAATGAATCATTAAAATGATTCTAATGTTGCTCCCTTTAATGTTTTAGATTCAAGGTCGAATATTTTTTAAGAAAGGGAGGATGATACATGCATCACAAGGCTCACATCAAAGGAAGAAGTAATAACTCTTCCAAATGATCCACTCATCCAAGCATTGGAAAAGAAGATCATAACAGAAGCAGACTTACGATGACTTTTTGAATGGGATCCTGATCTTATTTGGTTAATATTTCCTCTGTAGATATGACCGTATGTCTCTTATCTTTCCAAAGGTTCTTGAATCGCATCAATCCAATATCGGGAACTCAAGAAATGGCCATTTTACTGAAGATGGTGCATGCAGAAAATCCTATACGGGATTAATACGAGATTTTATAAATATTACGAATTTTCAATATTTTTATTGATTATTTGTAATATAATTTAATATAGGATGATGTATTATCTTTTAGGATTAGATTTATTATTTTATTAGGAATTAAGGTTGGGTTAAAATATTATTTTTAGTTATTATTATTTTATTAGGAATTAGAGTTAGGACATGTTTAGTTTATTATTATTTTATTCATTAGTTATTTAGGACTTTTAGAACTCAACCCCTATATAAAGGAGGTTTCATTCAACTTTGTAATCAAGATTTCTTTGATTAATAATACAACGAGAGTTCGTTTTTGCAAGTGTTGATTGCCTTGTGCCTTCGAAGCTTCTTCTCCTGGAGTTCTTTCAAGTTCTTGTGAGGGAGATTAATCTTCACACTTCAATTTGTCTTTTCATTGCGACTAGGAGGGTTGGTTAGAGCCATATTATCGTGTTTGCCTTTTCATTGCGACTAGGAGGGCTCGATAGGACATTATCCATCTATTTTCCGCAAATCCATCATTATCATCATCACCTTTGCCATCCACATTCACAAGGGAGATCTTTTTGATTTCTTGATTATCATACTTTTATTTTTAAGTTCTTTATCTTTTGTTTATCTTGTTCTAATCTTGTTTTTCACCTTGTTTCCAGCATCTAAAAGAAACCCTAAGAACCCTACTTGAATGCCGCCACCTTCCCCTATTCTTTCCCCTTTGTTCTTCATCGAGTCTAGAGCTTTCTAGGTTTGATTCTTCACCAAGAGCAACGTTCATTAACCCGCCACCGCTTCCCTATCAGGCGTGGAATCCGAATGTGATAGATTCTGACTCGACTCGATTCAATCCGGTCATATTCTTTTTAAGAATTTTAGGTTCGGGTTTTGTCGAATTAGGTTTTTTAGAGTCTGTGTTAGAATCGGATCAGATTCGGATTTAAGGTAAAAAAAATTTGGATTTTAATTTATATCAAAAAGACGGATGAGATTTGGATCAAGTGGAACGTGTATATTTTCAGGTTAGATTCGAGTAAGATATATAATTTTTGGGTCGAGTTAAGTGGACGGAAAATCTAGCCTCACCAACTTTTTTTCTATCCCTATTTATGTGTAATATTGGAGGGGTTTCTGTTTCTAAAATATTTTAAATTTAATTATTTTGCAAGTCCTTTTTGTTTTAAATTAAATAAATTAAGTTTTCATTCTCTTATTTTTTTAGGTTCAATTATTCTTCAGTCCTTAATTATATAACTAGATGGATTAAATCGTAATCTTCAATTTTTTGATATAATTGTTACTGAGGTCCTTTTTATTTTGAAACTATACATATTAAGCTTTGGTCTAACATTTTCTTGATTTAAATATTTTTAGGGATTAAATTCAGAAATGAAACTTTAGGGAGCTTTTAAGATTCGAGACTGATATGAATCAGAAAAAGAAATTAGCGATTGAATTGGACAACATTACAAAGCTTAGGATTAAACCCTCATTTACCCTCTTTTTTTCTAAGCTAGTAATTGCTTAAGGATAAGTGATCAACTGAGATTGCCTGAAGCCAGGTTGACGTGTCGAACTGGGATCCATTCATAATCAAAGGATCAGTCACCATCCGATGGACCTCAGTTAGAAACGAACCAAATATCTCACACCACTAAAGATTGTACACTGTAAGTATTCATATAGAGGAAAGAGCCACCTTGATATCGTCCCTTCGCAACATTCGATAAAATTGGAACCATACAGAGAAGATTAGCTTGGCTCTTCGCAAGGACGGCATGTACAAATCAAGAAATTGTTCAAATTTTTTCCCCCAATATTTTTTTTTGGATAATTCTGATTTTATTACCCAAATCAAGATTTAGCTACAGCCAATCTATCAATCTACAATGAAAGAATCAAAATAACAGCCTACAAAATGATTGGTTAGACTATACCCCAAGCATTACAAAACATTAAGTTAGTATTGTCTAGTCTATTAATATTTGTTCCCCTAAGACGAATTTCAACAACGTCTTTAACATCTTTGAGTAAGCAATCGATTGTTCTACGCCGTCCTTGAAATATTCTCTGATTTCTTTCCTGCCACAGAGAGTAAATAAAAGCAGTCCAAGAAATTTTCAAAATGGTAGTAAGAAGAGACCTCCCTTTCCATGATGAACATGCTTTTAAAACCATTCATTCCCATGATAAGTAAGTGGTCTTCATCCCGTTAAGGTTCAAAATTGAATACCAGAGTTCCACTGCCAGAGAATATTACGAAAAGAGACGGTTCCTTGTCTCGTAAGAGTTGCTACAATTAACGCAAAGACCATCAGTGCTAATTCCCATTCGAAGAAGGCTTCTCTAGTAGGCAACTTGTTCAGTAAAGCCATCCAAGTTATCAAGCTAAACTTTGTAATATGCAATGGAAACCAAATAAGTTTGTGCCATGAAACATTATGCCCTTTGAATCGAATCAAATACCAAATTTCCTTAACATTCGATGAACCGGCTGAAAAAATTGGAAGAGCTTTAGCTGTAACACCCCCAACCCGTACCCGACTCAGATACGAGTCCTAGGTGTCACATTGACCAGTCAAAGTATGTACTTTTATAAAAACCATAGAAAATTTAAAACTTTTATTCTATAAAGTAATTCTTTTACATAAACCTATTTAAAACCCTAACAAACTCCATCAGAGCGTACATATATATCATGACTTAGTTACATGCCAACATACTAAATTATATGACGAGACATACTTTACAAAATATTTCTGATCTGAACTTTGTGCAGAGGTATGTTGCTTCACGAATCCGAAGCTTGATCTTCTGACTTTTCACACCTACGTGTATAACACTTACATGCTAAGTCATAGACTTAGTGAGACATGTAAAGGCACAATGTAACCTAACAAATACATGCAGTTGTCATATAATACATATCATAATTACATACTTATAAAACCAATCATATAATATGACTACAAAACACCACAATAAATTAATATTTACTATGATCATATCATACATAACCACATAGCATCTCATATAACCATTACCCATATGCACTTGTTACCATTATTATCATATGATCCTAACTTATCACTTATACATGTCACATATCACATATACCATTTCCAGAGAAACACATATATCATTATATCAAATTATGTTTTCTTTTCAAAGCCCATGTATACTATTGAGAACTTAAGGTATGTGAGTACATAGAGGTTGTGTACAATACTGTCACCACAACTCATATAAATCCCACTAGGGGCGCGTAGAATTTGTCCCGAAGGACCACGTAGATGTCCCGAAGGACCACATATAACACATATATCCCGAAGGACCACGTAGACCCTCGACTCTTAGCATGCCAACTATACCTATAGCTCTCATAACACATGACATGGGCATTATCTTTTACCTCATTACACATTCACATATTCATATCACATAATCATGTAGTTTACTTTCACATAGCATTTTCCATGAAATTCACATTATTCATCCTTTTCACATATGGTCACTTCACATAGTTCTTTATCCCATTTCACATAGTTCACATATACCTTTTTCTCATATGCATATAACATATTATTTCTTATCTTTTAACTTATATTACATATGCATGTAATCTTATGTCTTATTATCAATATCTCATAGATCATTATCATACAACACATATTCGTATATACACGTTCTCATACAATCTCTTCGTTCAATTATAACATCCAATCTATCTTATTATACTAACATGTATTCATGACATTCATTTCACATACATAACATATCATATAGCATTCTAATAGAAGCACATATGAGTCATATTATTTTCACATATATTTTATCATATATCTCATAATCACATGACCTATTATCATAAATACAGGCATTTACATAGTTCACACATAAAAATGCATTCAACAATTAAACATATACATTTACTTATATACCATACATCTAACACCATATCACTACATGTTTATGCTTTAGTACTTATATCATATAATATCGGAATTTGACTCATCGCAAGTCTTAATTCCTTAACATAATGTACACTTACTATCATGTACTCACCTGGTCTCAATGAGCACTCTTAAGCTCTTGTTTTCTTTGTGTATCTTACTCTGTCGACCTATCCGAACTTTGATTTCGATCGATGTCTACACAATAATATATTTATACTATCATTATCCCATTGATATACTATAATCTATAATTTCTTAGACTGAAAGAAAGATTTATTCCATTTCCCATTGAAGTGCATCGGTGCATTCTACAGTGCATCGATGCATTCTTTAACAGGTGCATCGATTCACTACCATGCATCGATACACAATTTACATTCGATGTTTCCATTTTAAGGGGATGCATCGATGCACTCCTCATGCATCGATGCACCAACTGTACTCGATGTTTATTTATTTGAGAGTGCATCGATGCACACAACCCATAAATTACATTTTAAGCCCGAAAATGTCTTGTTTTAACCCCAAATTCTACTTATTAATCCCTCCTTATACCTTAAAACTTATCCATACATATTTAAACCTTCTTATAATACTATAACACTTCACCATATCTTATAATTCACCATAATTCTTGAATCAAAGAATTTCATCAAATTTTCCATGTGTTTTAAATTTAATTCTATCACCTCTAACTTCTTATTTAATCATTTGACAAGTCAAATCCATCCTTAGAACTTCAAAAACCTCTTTAAATCAAGAATTCATTTCTCAACCCTTAATCAAATTTCCCTTCAAATTTTCTCTACTTAATGTTTTAAGCTTATATAATCTTATATAATACCCAAATACTCCATCCCAACTTATAAATTCAAGAAATTAATCAACTGAAGAAAACTTACCTTATAGACTTGAGCTTGAACCCACGAGAAGAAGAAAGCAAGAAGAAGAAAGAAAGCTTCCAGATATCTCTATTCCCACATGTTATCTCCTTAAATAAGGGAGATAAAATATCTTTCAAACTAAATTACCATAATACCCTTATAATCCTTTCATATTTACCATTTAATCCAATACTGAAATATCCTTATTAAATCCTTAAACTTTTTCAATTTTCCTAAATTGATCCCCAAATTTCAAAAATTCTCATTTTAGTCACTAACCCAGATTTGGGATGTTACATCAACCCTTGATTTTAAGATTCTGCTGATACTCCAACTTACATTTGTAGCATCTCGGAAGTTCCAAAAGTCATGCTCCGTAAAAACATAGGCCTTAAGCCATGCAACCCACAGTGACCCATCTCCCGCCAATATTTTCCGAATTAGACTAATGAGGCAATCTCTATTCCAAGCTTTAATGTTCTTCAGGCCTAGGCCACCTTCAGATTTGGAGAGAAAAATAGTTTCCCAGCTCACACGAGCACCAGCGACAGATTTATCTGCTCCTTTCCAGAAGTACCTTGACCAAATCTATTCCACTTTCTTAAGAATAAAAGTTAGCAAAACAAGTTGTCTACACCAGTAGTTGCTGACGTTGAATAAGACTGATCTAATGAGCTCTAATCTCCCTGCATAACTGAGATTTCTCCCAGTCCAGTGATGAAGCTTGAGCTTGATGTTATCAATTAAAGGTTGACAGTCCTTTTCGGTAAGCTTGCGGGTGATAAGAGGAATACCAACACTACAACAAATTTTCTTATTAGTGGCATCTAGGTTATTGTCACTAAAACTTCAATTTATGTCACTAGATGTATTTTGTGACGTAAAAGTCAGTCACGACGATCATCACCCTAGGTGTGTCACTAAATGTCAAAAGTGACGATGTATGTGTTATCGTCATGTATTGTTAAATATATAGTGACGCTAATGGATAACGTCACAGTTTAATTTGCATTCAATGACATTACTTTTGTCACCAAATGATATACATTTTCGTCATTAATAAATCATATCTTCACCAATAACACAATAATTTCATTGTATACGTGACGAAAAGAAAATTGTTACATTGTTAGTAGCGTAGTATATCGTCACCTAATAGTTACATGGATGACATTTATATATAATGTCATTATATAATTAATATTCAATGACAACTAATTATGTCACTAGATTATGTAAAATTTCATTATTGATGATTTATATCGTCACGGATAATACATTAAAATCAACATATATGTGACGAAAGAGATATTATCAAATTTTTAGTGACATAATATAAATGTTACCTAATAATATTATGAATGACGTTTATGCATAACGCCACTTTATAATTTATATTCTATGACAGTTGGTTACGTCACTAAATTAAATAAGATTTCGTTAGATAATTTATTATCAAAATAATGCATTAAATCAACTTATATGTGACGAAAGAGATATTGTCACATTTTTAGTGACATAATATATCGTTACCTAATAATATTATGAATGATGATTATGCATAACGTCACCATATATAATGTCACCAATATAGTGGCAAAACTAAAAATTGTCACCATATATAATGTCACCAATATCGTTTTGTTCCGAAGTATGTGGGAAAGAATGTTGAAAAATAATATCATGATGATTAAAATAAGCATCAAACGTTTTAAATTCAGTCCCAAAATCTGATTGCACTATTTTAAGTTTACAATTAAACTGTCGTTCAACCATCACATGAAAAGAAATAACAACATTACGAGTATCAAACTTTCGAGCTAAAAATATATCCAAGTAAACCTAGTACATGCATCTACAAAGCTAATATAATAGCTAGCATTATTAGACATTAAAGGAGCAGGTCCCCAAAAATCCATTTGTACAAGTTGTGAAGGTTGATCACAAAGAGAGACAAATTTTTGAAACAGAAGTTTATGACTCTTGCCTAACTTGCAAGCATCACAAAATAGAAATTTACTATCAACAGAGATATTACATTGTTCCAATCACTTCTCTAAAACACGAACAGAAGGATGCCTTAGTCTCTTATGCCATAGCTAAACAGTACCACCAACAGTATTAGCACATGAATCTTGAATTAAAACATCAGTAGGATACTTAACATCACTAGAAGTATGCAAAGAATCTACAGAACTTAGTAAGCAAAACACTATTAGAGTCAACAACAACACAACCAGAAGCAATCTCACCATCCCTAGAACCAGTAAGCTTATCTACACAACCAGCAGAGGACAACTCATACAAGCCCTAACTTTCCAAACTGTGAAGAATGACCTGTCGAGTTTCCAAATCCTTCAATTTTGAAACAGACAGTAAATTCTTTTTAATAGTAGAAACATGTAATAGATTATTTAAAACCAACGATCTAGACTGAGAATTCAAACTGATTTCCCAATCTTGGAGATGGGAACAACCATACCATTAGCCACAGAAACCATACCTGCCCCAAGATAAGGAATAGAACAAAGAAAGTTACCAGCATCAGGAGTAAGATGGGTAGTCTCTCTAGAATCGGGATACTAGTATCCCCATAACCAAAGACACCAAAAACTCCATCTGCAATTGTCACAACGTTAACATCATGATAATCGGAGTTCGCACTAGGAACAAACTCATCATTGTAAGATTCATCATTAAACTCATCAGCAACATAACGAAAATTCAAAGAATTATTTGACCTAGCAAAACCCTCAAACGATTGATCAAATAAAAAATAACTCTGGCTCGCAAGATAACCAATCTTGTCGCAAATCTAACATTGAACCTGAGGTCGACTATAAACACGGCCTCCACGTCCACGAAAGACAACCCAAATACCTTTAAACGCTCCTTGTTGCCTAAAACCGTGCCCCTAAAGCCTTTGACGATCCTGAAAAGGTTTCTAAGAGAACGTTAGATTTATACCAGATAAAACCCCATAAACACTACCACCGTAACCTCCAAGAACATCATATGCGTCGTTTGACATTGCGGAAGCAAAATCAGCACCGTTTGACACCCCAGAAGCATAGTTAGGGTAACCCCTTAAAAATCTTGACTCATTGAAGCATTGGTTGGGCCAAAAAATATCAGCCCACTACGAGTTGAATTCTGAACCAAATTAGCCGAAGCACTTTGGCTCAAAAACTTGAGATGTCTCACCTCAGTATCAAGGAGCACATTATAAACACCATCAATCTTGTACGACTTTTGGCTTGACGTGATAACAGCCACCACTTATTCATATTCTGGCGATAAACCAGAAAGTATAGCAGAAATATTCATGGTCTCTGTTAGAGGATTACCTGAAGCAACAAGACTATCATAAATAGATTGAATTTGAGCAATATATTCCTTTCATACTATGATCCCTCTTGCGAAGTGTCTTCAAAGAACAATGAATATGCATGATCTTAGTAGTAGAAGAAACCAGGGTATCAAATAGTCTTCGCGGTCACGTTTTCGATCGCGTCGCGTTATCGCGGTTGCGGACATAACAGATGCCATCGCGTTTAACGCGGGTGTCGCGTTCGTGAATTTTTTTAAATTTCGCACAACTTACCTTAAAGCATAATAAAAAAATTATAATTATGAGAAATCATTTTTAATGATTTTTAAAATGTTTTCTAAGTGAAATTGACATATATATAATATAGTTTAACCAAATAGAAAACTTTAAAAATCCAATGATAAACCAGCATTAAAGAATGATAAACCAAATACAAGAGCTAGCTGTTGGAAACTTGGAATGTCTGAACAACTGGATCGTTTAGAGGGGAATGTTAAATTATCACTCAGCCGGGCTAAACCAGAATTAAAGAATGATAAATACAAAATGGGTGTAAGAAGATTACAAGGCACACCCTACACTCACTTGGTCACTCCATCATATGATTATTTTGCTGAAATGGGTATGGACAATTGCATTATTTAATAAGGTTGTTAGATTATCTTATTTTTAACATTAACTGACGATTTTAAAAGACATAATTTCATGACGTCTTTTAAAATCGTCATATAAAAAAGAGGGATAAAAACAAATGACAAATAATTGATTTCGTCGTGCTAAAGCTATTTTTGTGACAATAATGAAATGTCACTTTTAGTGTCTTATAAAATATGACAAATTAAATTATCACGAATAAAATATATTAGTGACAAATGTGCAACGCCACTAATTCAAATTCAATCGTCATTATAATAAATCATCATTAATACATATTTTTCTTTGGAGACGATTTTATAACGTGATTATTTTATCTAAATGTCATTAAAAGGTTTCCCACCAAAGAATTTGGTGGGAAGATTTTGGCGCAAAACTTATAGTGACAAAAATCAATAACCATTTTTAAAATTGTCATAAAAGATATATCATTAATCAATAAATATGACAAAAATAAAAAAAATGTCACATTATAATATGTTTTGTTACGATATATGTAACGTCATATAGAAATTTTTTTCATAAATTGACAAATTTATTGTAGTGCAAGGTAACAGACAGGAAGTCTTTCGATATGAAACCCAATAATCAGTTTTAATTCCTCAATGGTTCTTAACGTAATCCCCGCAGCAAAAATCTCACATTTGGAAGTATTCAATTTAAGCCCAAAGATTCCATAGAAATGATCAAGAATAGTGAGAACACCAATAACAAATTCAATATTGCCTTTGCAAAAGATCATTAAATATTCGGCAAACGATAGATGAGTAAGGCCAATTTTCCTGCATTTAGGATGATAATCAAACATTCCTATTTCGGCAGATAAATTAAGCATTCAAGATAAAATATTGATTACAAGAACAAAAAGCTAAGGGGATAGAGGGTCTCCATGCCTTAGGCCTCTTGCACCTTTAAAGTAGCAAATTAATGTCCTATTAAAAGAAATGGAAAACCTTGGTCCTGTAAAACAAGCTTCGATCCATGCAATGAATGCATGAGGAAGTTGGAGTACTTTAAGAATTTGTGAGATGAATCCCCAATAAATGGAGTCGAAAGCTTTATGCAGATCAATTTTCAAAGCGCATCTTGGGGAGATAGAATTTCTGCCATATCCTCTTACTATCTCCTGAGCAAGAAGGGTATTATCAATAATGCTCCTTCCTCTGATGAATGTCGTTTGATTCTAAGTAATAATCTCAGGGAGGAAATCAGTCAATCTTCTAACAATGATTTTAGTACTGATCTTGTAGATAACAGAACAACAAGAGATCGGCCGGTAATCTTTAACTGCACTCGGATTTGGTTTTTTTTGGAACAAGAGCAATAATAGTGGAATTAAAAGCAGGATGAATTGTAGCATTAAGAAAGAAAATTTTGACTGCAGTAACAACATCCTCACCCACTATATTCCATGAGTTCTTTAAGAAGTAGGGAGTGAAACCGTCGGGACCTGGAGCTTTATCATTACCTTGGCAAAAAAAACTTTCTGAATTTCTTCTCTAGTAATTTCTTTAACAATGCTTGCTGAGTCTTCAGAAGGCAGTGAGTAATTGAGTAATTCTTTTAGGAGGTTAGGATCAATTTCTTTTACCATGTTGTCAGCTGTACCAATCAGAATATAAAAGAAGGAGACAATTTCTTTCGGCATTGCATCAAAGGACTCCAATCGATTGCCTTGTTCATCAATAAGAACACGGATTGTATCTCGCTTATTTTTAAAAGCAATCGTCGAATAGAAAATTTTGGAGTTTTTATTTCCATCTTTAATCCACTGCACTTTTGCCTTTTGCTTGAGAAACGAAGCTTCCACATCTTCTAAAGTATTAAAATCTTCTTGTAATAAAAGTTCCTTATCGATTGCTTCCTCTCCCTTTAAAGTGATGATTTGTTGTTGTTCCAACTCGCTTCTTTTCATTTTTACTCGTGCCTAGAGATTGTTGTAATTCTCCTTGTTAAATCTCGTAAGGCAAGTTTTGATTCTTTTAAGTTTAGTAAGGAGAATTTGCATAGGATTGCCATGAGCATGATGGAGCCAGGATTGTCTTACTTCATTCAAGAAGCAAGGATGAGCAGTCCAAAAGTTGAAGAATTTGAATGGCTTTGTCCTATTAGCTGGAACTTCTTTAGAAAGCCAAGTAAGAGACATGCAGTGGTCCGAGACCCCTAGAGTAATAAACTCAAAAAAAAGTTCTAAAGATTGAAGCCCAATTAGAATTTATCATGACCCTGTCGAGTTTTCTTGCAAGGAAAAATTCTTTTTGCTTGTTACTCCAATTGTAAGAAGGACCAAAATAAGGATGGTCATGGAGTTCAAGCTCATTAGCTAGATCCTGGAAATCTTTCATATCGGAAGTGAGATAATGACCAATGACATCATGGCCGGAACTTTCATGAGAATGCATGATAATATTAAAGTCCCCTCCTAGGACCCAAGGTGACTTATTAACAGTAGAATCAACTTCTTGTAAGCTATGCCAGGGCTGTCTTCGAGCAATCTCATCGTTACTACCGTAAATTATCGAGATAAAAAAAGGAAAACCAAGGTGAGATCATCTAACAGTAATGCATTGATCGGTAATTTGAATGATAGAAAGATTAATACATTTCCTCTAAAGAACCCAAATTCTACCATTATAAGCAAAATCATAGTTAGAACAATAATTCCAATTCTGGAATTTAGAGGTGAAAATAACCTCTGCTTTGTCCACCTTAACTCTAGTCTCAAAAAGACAAAGGATGTCAACATTATTTTGAGTGGCTCGATGTACCACTTTATTCTGCTTTAGAGGACTATTAAGTCCTCTAATATTCCAGAAGCTGACTATCATTGAGAAGGTGATCCCAAAGGACCCCCTTGACCTCCAACTTTAAGACCTTTAGCTCTATCAATTTGTTCTTTCTTTTTTGATTTAAGTTCTTTCACTAAGTTTGCAACTCCCAATGAAGCAACTCTTGGTTTTCTTTGCAAGCTTTCTAAACAATTAGGAATCTCTTCAGCAGAATTAAGTATATCGAATCTATTGGTTAACCCTAAAAATTGAGATTTAGCATTTTCAGGTCTGCCTCGACTCCTTTTAAGCATAGTGGGTTGAGCTTTATCAATTTCATCAATTTTAATAGGCTGTACGATTAAGAGGTCACTTGCAGCAACAACAGCTTGAAGCGAGACAACATCTGTATCGTCATCTTTTTGCTTGTTAGCAGCTTCATTAGATGAATTAAGATTATCTATTCTAACTGGAGCATTAATGCTGCAATGAACATCAACCTCCTTACTCAATACATTAGTATCGCTTCCAGCAACATTAACTTGCCTATATGCAGCAAATGAGTCGGTGGTTTTTTGGTTATTTGCTTCAGTAATAGTAGTGGCATGATTTTTTGTTTTTTCAGGTTCTTGTAAAGCTTCTATCCCTCCAACATGAATGGCTGCAGAATTGGGAATGATTTCTCCTTTCTTCTTCCAAACTTGTGAAACAGTAGGATTCGTATTGACTTTAAGCAAACATCCTTTTTCATTATGTCCAAATACATTACATCTTCTACAAGATTGGGGTAGCCAAGGAACCTCTACACTGATCGAGGTTGTTTGCCCATCTTTCAGAATTACCTCAATGTGTTTAGGAATTGTATCTTTAACAACTATTTCTACACAGACTTTTGCAAACTCAAGCCTTGATTTTGCAGCAGTAATCGAGTCCATAGAGATTGAAACTCCAATGGCACTTGCTATATATCTTAAGCCTGCTCTAGAGAATAGTTCAAGGGAACGTTGTACAATTGTACCCAAATAGGGATTTTAGACAAGTTGAAGCTAAGGCTTTTCAGGTTAGGTTCCCATTTCCTAAGTATTAAGGGCTTATTATGCACATGCCATGGACCATGTTCAAGTACCCAGTCTCTAGCAGATTCATTACTAAAAGAGAAAATGAAGATGTTATTTCCAGCAGGACTGACCTGGATTCGAGATCCCAGCTGCGCTTTACTCCATAATTTGTCAACAGTCCGATGAAGAGAAGTGAAACTTGGAGCAACCCCCAGGAATTGGCCCACTAGTGAAAATTTCCACTCGGAAATTCCATCAATGAGGATCTCTGAAGGTGGGAAGACAGTCGGGATTCCTTCGAGAAATTGGATGGGGAAATTCTAGGTTTTGATCTGCCAAGCCTTCGAACAATTTTCGCCAATCCATCTTTCATGCCAATTTGGTTGGAATTATCCTTTATATAAAAGAAAAGTTGTCAAAGAACTGAAATTTCAAGACAATCACTGGGTGGCAGCTTGTTTAAAACAATGAGAACTTCAAAGCTTGCAGCAAATGTTGAATTGGAAGCTTTGTCATTCCAATAGCTCCAGCAAACAGCTTCAAAGAATCATGGATGACAGCAATTTTTTGCTTCTCATTTTTTGCTTCAGAATCTCGAGTTCTTTTTTAATTATTTTTCTGTGTTTGATGTTCATCTTCACGGGTTTTATGCACTTAAGATTGCAACTAATAATATTTGTTACAGGGTTTGGTCTGTTTATTTAATTAGATTTAGCTGGAATTAACATTTTAAGTAACCAACGGATCCTTCAATTTATAGAGTTAATTATAGAAATTGTTGATTTGTTTTATGCCTGCTGTAAAGCATGGAATTGTCATCCCCAAATATTCTGGCTTTGTGTAAGAATTTGACTTATCATTTCGCTTTGTACATGAATCCTTTCATTCTTTCTAGTGTTTTGCAATTTGACCTACCATTTTTTCTTTGAGGATAATCGAAGTGTTTTTAAACGGGGCTTTAAGTTTGCCGTGTGCCGTGTGCCATGTGTCTATGCAATCCATTGATATCCTTGAATACTGCTATGGGCTTCCTCATCTCTTTACTTTGGAAGTGATTCATTGAGCTTGTTTTTTATTTGTCAAATTTCATGTTTTTTTTAGTATGGGAATTTGTTGGCAATGCTCGACAATCCGGCAACCCATTGACTTGAGTTCCAGGCTGTCAGCACTGCATTGATGGAAATGAATGGATTTAATGTAAATGGAAGATATGCCAGTCCCTCAGGTTTGGCAGAACATAAAGGAGGAAGGAAAGTCACCACCATGAAAGAAATCATTGACTACATAATCATACAACTGAAGATCCGTAAGGTTAAATGAAAACGTACCCTATGTTTTTGCTTTGGCTATTTTCATGGTATGCTTACGGCTTACCTATCCATCACTTTCATTGATACTTCTCTCTTTACAGAGAACATTACAACAAAGTTACTGCAATGTCTTAATGTCTTATATTTATCAAATTGGTTGTTCATGCTCGGAAAAACAAGCTGCTTATGCTGCCTGTTGTCAACTTCCTTTAAGAATCCAGTGGAATCCTTTCAAGATGATCCTGAAAATGACTGGATAAATTATCTTTTCATGGTGCACTCATACATCATAATTCATTATTTGTTCCGCCTTATATAGCAAAATCTGCACATTACTGGAGTTCTGTTTCTTGTGGCAATAAAACTCAAATGAGCATGAAGCTAAAGCTATATTCTCGCAACTACAGTCCAGTGGCGCAGCGGAAGTGCGGTGGGCCCATAACCCACAAATTGTTTTTCTTTTTTCCATTTCCTACATAAAGCTCTATAATACTCTCTCTTTTTCATTTCCTACATGAAAATACAACCAGTTTTCACCCCAAGGTTAGAGTGGCACTACTTTTCCACCACAACATTAAATCAGCACCAAGATAGAAAAGAAAATGAATATCTTCTTACATCGAAGAATCTTCAACAAAATCAGTTACTGGTTACCTTTTTTGTGGTTCATAAGTTACTTGATGCAGAACTTTGTGGCAGTTACCATAATATTTAGTCTATGCTTTGGTTTCTCTAGTTTCTGTATTTAGTTTAAAATTTCGAACTGCCTGAGATTGGTCTGACCTATTTTTGGATTGCCAATTCATGTTCTCGAACAGGGAAACAGGTAATGAGTAAATTCACGAAACAAAATTACCATATATTTGGTATGTTCATTATTATTATTTTTACTAACTTTTCTGTATTTGATGTTCGTCTTCATGGGTTTTGCGCACTTAAGATTGCAACTTAGAGTTTTTGTTATTGGGTTTGATCTATTTTACACCTTAACATCATTTAATTAGATTTTGCTGGAATTAACGTTTTAAGTAAATAACTAATGGATCCTTCAATTTCTAGAGTTAAAATTGATGGGACAAAACATATCTTTTACATGATGAAATTATAGAAGTTATTGATTGGATTTATGCTTGCTGTAAAGTATGGAATTGTCATGCCCAAATATTCTGGTTTTATGTAGGAATTTGACCTACCATTTGATCTCATTTCACTTTGTACACGAATCCTTTCATTGTTTCTAAAGCTTTTGAAATTTGACCTACTATTTACCTACCATTTTTTCTTTGAGGATAATTGAAGTGTTTTTAACAGGGTTTTAAGTTTGCAATGTGTTTTCTCATATCTTTAATTGGAACCTGGAAGTGATTCATTGAGTTTTTTTTTCATGGTTTTTCAGTATGGAAATTAGTGGGCAATGCTTGACAATTCCGGAAACATTGAGATGCATTAACCATTGTTGGATAGTGGATTGAACCGTCTGAGACAGTTCCCGTTTCTGAAAGAGTATCAAAGACCAAAATCATGTTGTTCTACCATGTGCTGAATATGCATGTCAAAATCTACACTAAATGCATGAAAAATTAGCTTCACCTAATAAGGTTGTTCCAATTTCTAAATGCAAGAATCGAGCCATATTTTTTACTCACTCCTAAACATAAGGGTTGACATTTGGTTATGCATGATATGATAGATGAAGATTGAATACTACGAGAATCCAAAAGAGTTGAGTTCGAGGCTGTCAGCACTGCATTGATGGAAATGAATGGATATAATGCAAATGAAAGGAATGCAGTCCCTGAGGTCTGGCAGAACATGAAGGAGGAAGGAAAGCCACCTCCATGAAAGAAATCATTGACTACATAATCATACAACTGAAGATTCATAAGGTTAAACGAGAAGGTACTCTATGATTTTGTTTTGTCTATTTTCATGGTATGCTTACCTATCCATCACTTTCATTGATGCTTCTCTCTTTACAGAGAACATTACTACAAAGTTATTGCAATGTCTGATATTTATCAAACTGATTGTTCATGCTTAAAAAAACAAGCTGCTTATGCTACCTGCTGTCAACTTCCCCAAAAGCGACCGGGTAAATTAATTTTACATAGTGCACTCGCATCATATGTTCTTCATTATTTGCAGGGCCGGCTCTGGGCAGGGGCAAGAGGGGCACCCGCCCAGGGCCCATAATTTTGATTTATATTAATTTATTATATTTTAATAAATTAAATTAAAAGCAGGACTCATATATATTAATTATATTAATGCAAAGGCCCCATAAATATTAATGTTCAATTTTAAATGATTTCTCATCATGATCATGAGGGCCCGGTTACCATAAATATTAATATATTATTTCTAATGCAAGATGACTCATAAATATTAGTATAAATTAATGCAAGTTGAATTTAAAATTTTTGAATGTTCTCATCTTATAAACTTTAATACAAGAGTCAAGGGCCCATAACAAATATTAATATACTATTTCTACATTAATGCCAAATGACTCATAAATATTAGTGTAAATTAATGCAAGTTGTTGGATGTTCAACGTTAATGCAAGAGGCCAATAGCCAAGAGGGCTAACGGTTACTTTTTTTTATTTCCTATAAATGATAGGAGAACATTGAAGTAAAATCAATTTATTTCTTATTGTTCTCAATTTTCAATTTCTCATATTTCTCACAATTCACAAACACAAATTACTTATCATCAATTGTGGTCATTGAAGATATTTTTAAAATCCTAAGTAAGTTCGTGTTTCCAAATTCTTTTTATTTTTATTTTTATATATTTCTAAATTATAGATAAACTTATTCTCTTTTTTTGTTTCATAAATTTTGGATATGAAATGTCAAACGTGGATATGCAGATACTTCATCTTCCTTCTAAGTTCAATCATTACGGTGTTGCGAATTTGGCGTATAAATACTTCGATCGAGGATCTTCCCATTTACAGGTGTTATTGTTCTTTTCTACATTAGTTGCATTGTTATATAATGTTTCCTAAAAAAATTTTGTCTGGTAGTGAAAAAAGAAAAAAAAAAGAAAACAAATAGATGATTTACTAGAATCACAAAAGGGAGCTCTTGATAAATTCTTTAAAAATAGAGTAGGAGAGTCTTCTAATGAAAATTTAAATGATATTGCTGAGAATTTAAATAATCTTGATAGTTCTTCAAATGAGTCTAATTTAAATGTCCATAATCATGCACAAAATGAGTCTAATGTTGAAGATGTTGGGATTGATCAACACTTAGTCCCTACTGTAGACATTTATGATCCTAGAAATTGGGGTAATCTTGATAACAAATCTAGAGATATTTTAGTTGAAAAGGGGCCTATAAGAGAATTGAATTTGAAATTTCCCTTAGCCAATAATTCTAGGCATTTTTCATATGCTTATTTTTCTAAAAAGTTGAGTAATGGAGAGATTAGCGATAGAAAATGGTTGGTCTATTCTATACATGTGGACAAAGTTTATTATTTTTGTTGTAAATTGTTTACAAAACAAAACAATAAGAGTTATTTAGCAAATGATGGATTAAATGATTGGAAGCATCT